ATTTTCATAAGGGTTAGGTTAGGTGTAGTTGACTTGACGTCTTGCGAGTTACGAGAAGGTGGAGAATAACTCCAATAAAAATAAATTTACTGGAGTTGTTTTCTGCGGATGAGATCTGATGATGATTACTGGCTACCTCTGTACAGCAAGTATCTGTGTTACTTAAGTAATCTTTCTTTGGAATCAGCCTAACAGAAGCTAGTGATGAAAAACTGGATGACTCTTTGAACTGAAGTAATGAAGTGCAAGCTGAAATAGTATTCTAGTCTCTTTGCTTAGCTGACAAGTGATTATCTTAGTACTGTAATGAGCACTGTAAAGTATAAAAATCATGACAGGAGTTCATTGTAGAGGGTTAGAGACGAATTACGAATGGAGAGCGGTGGCAAGACCTTTAGCAGTGTGTATATATGGCTGAACGTGACTGAACCCTTTGAGTCGGGCTGCAACTTGCACTTATTTATAATTGTTGCAAACGTAGGCCAGCCACCGTTCAAAGTTATAACTACTAGTATGTTTTTTTAGAGCGCAGCTCTTAGGGGCCCGTTTCCGGCTTGAGCGGCGTCGGCGTCGCCGTCGGCGTCGCCGTCGCCGTTGGCGTCGCCGTCGGCGTTGGCGTAACCGCGCGGTGCATCATGGGAAATGTCCCATAATGCACCGCGCGAGCCCCCCACCGGGGTCACGTGACTTCGTGGGGGGCACGTGACCCCCCCGAGGTCACGTGACCCCCTGAAGTCACGTGACCCCCCGAGGTCACGTGACCTCCGCCGATGTCGCGTGACCCCCGATGACGTCATCGACACTGATGACGTCACCGGCATCCACATCGTCATCGTCATCATCACTGATAACGTCATCATCAGTGATGATGACGATGACGATGCGGATGCCGGTGGCGTCATCAGTGATGATGACGATGACGATGTGGATGCCGGTGACGTCATCAGTGATGATGACGATGACGATGTGGATGCCGGTGACGTCATCAGTGATGATGACGTCATCAATGATGATGACGTCATCAGTGACGATGACGATGTGGATGCCGGTGACGTCATCAGTGATGATGACGATGACGATGTGGATGCCGGTGACGTCATCGGTGATGATGACGATGACGATGCGGATGCCGGTGACGTCATCAGTGATGATGACGATGACGATGTGGATGCCGGTGACGTCATCAGTGATGATGACGATGACGGTGTGGATGCCGGTGACGTCATCAGTGATGATGACGATGACGATGTGGATGCCGGTGACGTTACCGACATCCGCATCGTCATCGTCATCATCACTGATGACGTCATCAGTGACGTCACTGATGTCGTCACCGGCATCCGCATCGTCATCGTCATCATCACTGATGACGTCGTCAGCGACGTCACTGATGACGTCACCGACATTCGCATCGTCATCGTCACTGGTGAAGTCATCAGTGACGTCACTAATGACGTCATCGGTACCCGCATCGTCATCGTCACTGATGACATCATCAGTGAAGTCAGTGATGACATCATCGGCATTGGGGGTCACGTGACCCCCAAGGTCACGTGACGCCCCAAGGTCACGTGACCCCCCCTCCTGGTTAGTCTAACCCCCCCCCAGCGCCCTTCCCTCCTCCTCCTCAAGAGCTGCGCTCTAATTCGGCGTTACAGGGAGTTGTAAGCGGCTTTCACTTTTTGTTCTACTTCATTATTTTATTCACCGGAAGTTTTTCGCTGTAACACAGTCGTAATACTATAAATCCTCTCCTGTTTGTTAATGACAGGCTGCCATAATACCTTAAAAAAATTGCAATCCAAGACGTCAATCCTGTGGAATCGGTCGGGCATGCGCTCTACAGCTGTGGAAGCATCCAATTGACAGGCACCTCAGGTTTGTCTATTTTCGAGCTCTGGAAGATCACAGCCTCATTTACATAATTATGACCCTATTAAATCTCATATATATCCAAGTGACGTCTTCCTTGGTCGTCCTTATGATGTCCAGTAAAATCCAATCTGGGACTAGAAAATGCAAATCATTCTAGAATTTTCTAGGGGTGCTCTGAAACGTCCCACCAGGGTTGGCACATTGAGACAATGCTGGGATATCCCAAGGATATTTATGGTTTACTGTGATAGGTTAATGATGTAATAGGGGTAATGAATTAAAATCAGCTGGGGGGTAGACTAGTTGGTTACACATGATGAAAAAAAAAAGTACAAAAGGCAGTAGGAGGAGAAATCAGTACAAGTGCTGTCTTCTTCCTCTCCTTCTACTCCTTCTACTAGTCCTTGTCTTTTGCATAAGCATGTCCAAATACTAGTGAATTTTGAGTTTCAAGCGAATAGTGATTTTGGCCTAATATTTTCGAATCAAATCACTGCGCCATGCTTGAACGAAGACACAGCTGAACTCGTGGAAGTGGTTTCCAAGTTTTTACTTGTTCACTTCTAAGTTAATTTTAATTAATCTACAGGGTGTCCCAAAAAACATTTACACGTTTTTTTAACCGCAAAAATGAACTAGGCATTGCCGAACGCCCATTCTCCGCCCAAAAGTAGTGCTGGAGGTCACAACCAGATGCTAAAGTTTCAGCACGATCCGATACCTTAATCAAAAGTGTAATTTTCTGAAAATTTCAATGGGAAAATGGCGGCCGACGGAGTTTTCGAGTACATGGGGCTCGATGGCACCAGAAACCGAAAACGGACAAAAATGGGCTCCATTTTCCCATTTGAAATTTTCAGAAAATCACTTATAACTTTTGAGTAAGGTATCAGATCGAGCTGAAACTTTGGCATCTGGTTGTGACCTCTAGCGCTATCTTTGGGCGGAGGATGAGCGTACGGCGATGCCTAGTTTATTTTTGCGGTAAAAAAAATCCTGTACACTTTTTTTTTTTTTGTGACACCCTGTACATTTATGGACTGTGGCCTCAGAAAGTTCAATGCCTATTGGTACTGCAAGTAAATGACACATCTGACACAAATTTAAACATATAGACGTGCCCAGCCATACCTAATCGAGGGTATTTATAAATATATTCTTGCTATATATGCAAATATATTTTCTTCAATCACGTGATTAACACTAGTTGTTAGCGCATCCCTGCCTGACATAAACTCATGCATAATAGCCAGTTTAATTTTGAAAATTTCATTGCAATGTAGATATCGCCATTCAGTTTCCATTTCCTTTTAAATACACCAGGCACGCACGTGCACTACCAAACATTGTGTGACTCCAGCGTGCACCACCCCGCTTTCAAAGTGTGCTTTCCTCCTATACGCGCGGCTGAGATGTTTGTACCTTTCGGAGCATTGATTGCAACAATTTAGCCCTGTTGAGCGCCGGTGCAGTGCGGAGAAGCAACACCCGCGGAAGTGAGCTCCGAGGGTGTCGCTTTCCCGCAGTGCACCGCTGCTCGGTAGGAAGCGCGCTCAACGGGGCTAACCCGCCGCGATTAACACTTCGAAAAATACTAAGATCTCAGATCATCTCGAAGCAAATGCCGAATTACGTATTATTCGAAACTGCTATTGGAAAGGTAGAATTTTTGTACAATCCTACGTCCTACATTTGCGCTGCTTCTTCTTTCTTTTTTTTTTTTTTTAAACAAACTTGTATGTTTATTACTGCATTTGAGGTGCTAGTGAAGATTCTTATATGGAAAATATATTTTCCTGAACATATAGACTTTACTATATTGGTTCTACCACGGTAGCTTTACCATGAATAACTACTGGTCGTAGGTGTAACATATACTAAGCATAGCTTATACTAACTACAGACGTGGCAGTGATATGATTGTTTGATTTTCTTACATCTTTTGCCAATTGTGGCACTTTGCCGTGCTCTTTGTCAACGTTCGACTTACTTTCAAGTAAGAGCACATAATTACTGTGGTAATCACAATGTTCTTTTTTCTCTTCAGAATCCCAGTCATATTATGTGGGGTATTCTAGTCATCGTCCTTGTGCTGTCATCAAAGAAGACCCATGCACTCTAACACTTTTTGTTGCACATTCCTGGGCAGGGGTGTTTTTGCTGAATAAAAGCTGTCTGTGCCCATAAATATGAGTAAAAACTAGGCTTATAAGCTCAACGTTCTTTTTCCTGTGTTTTAAGGATACTCTCTAAAGCTGTGTGTTCATGGAGCTTTGTCTTGGGGAATGGAGGAGGTTGGGACGCACTCAGTCTTGTATACTTATCAGCACCTTGAGAGAAAGGCCTTTGTCATTTGTTGTCAACTGTCCATCTCGAAAATAGATTAAGAAAACGAGGCATTTCACTTCTTTGAGCTCGCATGCTGAGGGTTTTTCGTGAATCTTCTTAATGGCACAGTTGTTAGTTGAATCATTTGGTTCTGACTTCGTTTCATTTGAACAAGGATAACAGAAATTAATGGAAAATGATCTGAAAAGATTTAGTCATTATTTTTCAGCAACTATTTTACATTTTCTAAAGAAGCCAAGCATTTAAGAATTCTAGTAACTTTTTCCCCGAGAAAAACGGAAGCTTGCACTTTCTACTTCGGAAAAATGAACAGCGATAACAATTGTACGATGTGCCCGGGGGCTATGCAAAGCGAAAATTTCGCACAGTAAAACAAAGCATTCGTCACCCGCAGCCGATATACCCTCCTACCTGCATTATTCAAGATGAACTGTATGTGCTCATGTCTCGTGTACAACATAAGGCAAACATGTACAACAGGACAAACATGCCAGTTTTTTATGTTGAGAATTTTTTGGGTTTGATGCACTTGATTTGCGCCAAGCAGTACCAACAATACTATTCCCGCTGACACCTTCTTAGATGATGAATCCACCTTTTTCAGAAATAGTAAATTCCAGAGGTTTGGGCAGGGAACGCACCCGCACATCACGAGCGCTGGCATGAGCCTCTGTCATGGTCACTCTGGAGTTTGAACGTGTTTTTCATTCCAAAAACTCCGGGACCATGATTTCAAAAAAAAAAAAAAAAAAGTAAAGGCGTAAGAAGAGGCCGAATGCCTTGACATCTTGTGTAATTGCCTTTAATACATGATATTGGCTGGTGAGGTGGTACAGTAAAAAATAAATTAACTCTCGGTTTTCATCTGAAGCAACATGATAACAACACTGAGCAAAACAAACACACACACAAAGAAAAGTCTGCAGGCAGAAAATTTCTTGGATTAATTTGTTTTTCATTGTTTTCCCTCGCGTGCATGCAACACGAAACAAGGCTTTGCATCAATTCTTTTTGTTTGCATAGGAACATTTTTGTCGATGCTACTAACCTTAAAACTCCAACGTGAACTATTTGGAAACGTGCTATGCTCTTTTTTCGGAGTGAAATACATAAGCCTATTCAACGCTGTAACCTTTACGCGACAAAAACTTCTCGGGACGGACGCAGTTCCCATGGGAACGGGCTGAGCCTTATAAAAAAAAATAAAAAAAAACGGCCGTCATGCGTGTGTTTTGCAAGAGACTGCTGGCATTGGATGAACTAGAATATATATATATATATATTACACATTTACAAATTCAACACTCCGAAAACATTTTGCGTGCAACATGCCAACGAAGAATTAGCAGAATGTGTGTGTACACTTTGTATTTGCATTCATGCGTAAAGTGATCAAATTATTTCTTGCACTATAATGCAGAGTGAAACACCTTTAGCTGAAAGTTGTTGAACCTTCCACCTGTATATGTTTTGGAATGTTTGCGGGTCTTGCTTGCAAACTTGATGGTCTGAACGTCTGAAGCATTTCTGTGGTTATGAGAGAAGTAGAGCTTCTGCTAGGAAAGTCTGACTAGCACACTAGCAGCTTGCAGTATTCTTTTCGTGCTGTTTTGTGTTCTCTTTTCATTCTGGTTCGTCATCTAAATAATTAGCACTTGATGACATTAGCTAGATCAGACCTTCAACTTGCCTTTAAGGTGTTTTGCAATGTGATCTTAAGCAAATACAATTTATTTTCTTTTTCTCTGTTGAGCAGAAGTTTTGTTTTAAGTACAGTGCACTTGTCTCAATTGTGCACCTCAAACAGGCAAGTCATTTATGAAAATAAAAACAAGGTGGTTGAGGTATAAGTAATGGAATGCTAGTCCTCGTGCTTGAGACAAGCAGCGTGTCCACAGATATCTGAAAGTTGCGGTCCCTATCGCAGTTTGTTAGGAAAACTTCAAGACACAATATAAAGAAATTAGTTTTAAAAGGAAGAAAACTTAAATTATCTTTCGATTAACTTCAACGCACAAAAGGAAGTAAAAACCTGGATTACACACTGGTAGTGGTTGGTCGTGACCAGCTCCGTAGGAGCCATTTTGTAGTACATAATGCCGTAAAAAGTCTATCTTGTTTTTTTTTCTTTAAATAAGCAGTCTAGAAACTGTACACAATTCACAAGTTCACAAGTCCGATCGATGTTTTCGCTCGGCTGAAATGCTGTGTTTGATAGGGTGGAGGCTGGTGTGGCATCTTAAACACAGCAGTTCCCAGAATCCTTCAAGTAGGCAGCCCAATTGTATACCATGCACCTTGCTTCTACACCACACATCTTGGTTGTTTCTGCACCATTCTTCTGACTCTCGTCACCATATCTCGTGGAGGCAATCAGTTCCGTCCAAACACTCAATCGAATAACCTAACTTGACTGAACTCGCCGGCACCGATTCAGCGGCCAACCGAAACACCCGATCTGCCCGACGTCAGTCATCTCCACCGTCTCGCATCAACACAGATGTTTCCACATTGCAGTCACTTGCACCAATGTGAAATCCACGTCGCTGTCACTGACATCCCTTTTCTCCATTGCTTGTGTCGTCGCGGCACCCCCCTCGCGCTCACCAGCGTTGCACACCGACGTCGGTACTTCACTGACATCACGTCGGCATGGCCGGGGTTGCATTCGTGTTTCACTGGCAGCACGTGAGCGCTGCCGGCCTTTTGTCGGCGTTTCACTGGCCTCTTGTCAGTGTTGCCAGCATTTCACCGGCATCGCATTGGCGTCACCGCTGTTGTTTGGTTCAGTGCCGACGTTTCGATGTTGCGTCCTCGCTGCCGACGTTGGCCACATTACGTCGCCGGCCGTTCGGGTATCACCGCTTAGCTCGCACACGCTGTCACCCCGCCAATCACCTGTGGGCGTTGGGTGCTTCCGGCTTCCTCCTCCTGAAGTTCGGGGGCAGCCTGAGGACCCCAGCACGGTCGGAGGGGTGCTGGAAGGGCAGCAGCACACTGCTGCGGTCGCGTGACGGCGTGCCGGAGCAGTGTGCCTCGTCGCTGCCATCGCCGCACGAGTCGAAGCCGTCGCACCAGACGGAGCTGGGGACGCAGCGCCCGTTGAGGCACTGCTTCTGGCGCGGCAGGCACGGGGAGTCGCAGCCCGCGGGTTCGTCGGAGCCGTCGTCGCAGTCTCGGAAGCTGTCGCAGAAGTAGTCGAGGGGTACGCACTGGCCACTGTTACAGGTGTGCTGAGAGGTGGGACAGACTGCGGGGAAGAAAAATGCGGGGGTGAGGGTCTCTTCTTGTACGAAGCAACACTGTAAAGGCCGGTTCACACGTTTCAGTGCAATTGACCGCATTGCATTGTGAGTTCTTATGAGACAGTCACGCTGGCGCCGTCCATGAGGCGGCCCTGGAACACTACTTGTGTGCACATAACTAGACTGGAGGTTTTGCAGTATTTGCAACATCAAACCTGCACACTATATACGAGAAATGACCTTTCCTGATATTGTCAGTATTATTTAAAATGCATGGCGGAAAGTGTTCCAGGACTGCCCAATAGATGGCACTAGTGTGTTCTCGCATTATAAATATTTACAAGCGGTTGCGACGCTTTTCGACCACACTCAAACGTAAATGTGCGAATCAACCTTACGTATTTTTAGTGCAAGTGTTGCCTCGGGGCTATTAATGCCTTTTAAGTTTGGCAGCCTTGCATTTGTCACATCTTAATCCATCAAAGTTAAAACAACCTGACACCGATCGAAGTATGTGATGTCTTTTACTGTACCTGGCCATACAGACTAGAGGATTGACTGAGAGGCGGTATTATAGTGGAATTTTCCCTCGCTTGTTAAAACCACAGTTGTACTGAACGATAGAAGACTTTCTGCGAGCTTACGAAAGATCATTCTGAAGTGTTTCTGAAATTATTTGTTCCCACAAAGACTGGTTTAATGTTTCTCTGACTGAAGACTGCAGCGTGAATATATTGGCTTTTCGGCACTTGTCTCTAGCAGAGAAAAGCTTTGTCGCAATCTATGGTAGTTAATACAACCAATATTTTGAGTGACATAGACTTAGTGCAGAAAGAGAAGTTGAACTCAAAGGCAGGAGTGCTTACGAGCAGTGCAATTCGCCTCGTCGCTTCCATCCCAGCAGTCAACAAATCCATTACAGCGGCGGTCAAGTGGTAGGCAGGAGGTGTTGTTGCCACAGTGGAAGCCATCGTTTCCGCATTCTGGAAAATTGGAAGTAGGCTCAAGTCAGCTTCTGAGGGTGGCTCGCAATAACAAGCCGCGATGAACAGCTGCCGACCCGGCTCAAGGTGGGCGTTGTACGACGAAAAAATTCTATACCTGCTCGAATGGGTAAATAGCTCTTCGTTTAAAGGGATTGGAGAAGAAGACTAATTCTTACCGCAGTTGTATTCGTCGGTCATGTCGTAGCAGTTGAAATGCCCGTCGCAGCGTCGCTGTTCCGGGATGCACAGTCCGTTGGAACACTGCCATTCGTCGTGAAGGCACTCTGAAAACATCCGAGATGCAAGATCAATTAGAGTTTGAATGTGTGTGAAGCAGTTGTGTTTGGACAACAGACGGCTGTGCTTGAATAGGGAGTATTCACTGGCGGCCATAGCTGTGTGCGCGAATGCTGAGCGCGTGCTAACGGCGAGCTTCCACAGTTCTTTTGCAACGTGCATTCCGCACCATCAAGAGTGTCGGTCTTAGCAGCCTATTGATGTGAGCTCGTTCTGAGCATGCGCTCTAAACAGCACCCACAAATATGGCATCCAGTGAATACTCCCTATAGAGAAGTGACCAATTTACAAGAGCCAAGGGGTTCATTTCTTGTGAACGGTGATTCGTGTAAATTTGCCTCAATGCAGCAACACTAACCATTTATGTGTGACCTTGAGAGAAAAAGGCCATCTTTCATTCATGTGTTCAGTGGATCATGGGGATGGATCAATGGGGACAATTTCCAGAAATAAGTTGTTTAGCTTTTACAGGTTCAACAACAGGAGACAAGCAAACTGAGAGGTTGTCCCCATTGACCAAGCATGAAAGTTATTAGCAAGTTTTAGTAGATGACTTTAATAAACCTGATAACCATACTCAACACATTGTCAGTGCCTTTGTACATGCATGATATCATTAGCAAAGCACAAAAATGGTCTACTAAAACTTTATATTGTCAATGGCAGTTAGTGCCTTGTTTAGTTCTTCTCTACACTGTTTTCGGGTATCGTCGGAAGGTCGCATAAAGGCCTACTAAAACCTTTTATCACTGGCAGTTACTGCCGAGTTTCATTCTCTTCCCAGTTTGCTTTAGGCTGGCTCAACAGGACAATGACTGCTGGCAATTTCTAATTTACTGGAAGACCTTGCACATTGTGCGGATATTTCAACACAATAAAAAGGTCATACTGCGTTAGTGCATACAAAGTGAACTCAAAGTGTTTGTTGCAACGAACATCGATACCAACGCAATGATGTGGGGAACGGCGAAGATGCATCGGTGGAAACGTGACCTACCCGAATCATCGACGCAGTGAAACACGACGTTGTCGAGCCGGCGGCAGAGTTCGTTGGGCCCCGAGCACCATCCACCACAGCCCCGGGGATCTTGGGGGTCCTTGGGTTTGACGCAGTGGGGCGTCGTCTCCTTGCCACTCATGAAGCAGATTTCGCCCTCGTGGCATTGGTGGCACGGCCTCCCTAGGAAGTCGAAATCATCCCGTTAGCAGCTGGGAAAATAGTTGAAAGTGTGTGACAGAAATCAGTTGAGGCAGTCCTCATTGATGCACAGAGTGGCCGGTGAAAGTTCCTTGCAAGAGTATTTGAGGCATCCATTCGCAAAATTGAACTGAGAAGCCAGAGTATAAGTAGGATCAAGACAGTAGTTTGTTTTTCTTGTTGCCGTGAACACGGGTATACAACTGGTAAATACGAGAAAACGCGTAAAATACTTCAGTGTACATAAATGCGACCTCTTCCTGTTTTGCACTTTTAAATAAAGCCGATTATCGCCCCTCACTAGAACTCCTGGAAGAATATAAGAGATAGGAGAGCAAGCTGGGTTTATCCCTCAAAATCGCAGAAGATGAGATCGATCCGCTTCTCAATACAGTTTCAAGATCACTGCAGACGTCAGCCCGTCTGAACTTTCACACAGGATAGCTTTGTTGGATCATCTGAAACTGTTTCATGCATTTAAGCTGCAAACTGCTCTCAGCTCGAGATGATTTTACCGGGGGATGCACCTCCTTCTGTCAAAGCTGGTTTGCACATGCATCGCAGCGCTAAACAACGCTAGAAACGGCAGTAATGCAGTGCTCACTTAAACTTAACTTCATCACTGAGGTAGCGCACAATAAGTCAGTGATGCATCATCAAGGTCGGTACTATTTTCAGCACTGGTCTGCTCACACTCGCATCACGGCTCTAGCTTACTGCTATACATGGCTTGCACTGACGTCGCATCAGCGGCCATTGTGGTGGCTTCGCTGTTGAGGGCGTACCTTCTGAAACATACATTTCGCACCCCCAAATTTCTTTTTCTCAGCTAGAAATGACCGTCGGCAGGATGCGGTGGCGTCACGTGCAAGCGTATTGACACGGCGTTGATTTCACACGATATCGACACTGCATAAGCACACCGCTGCTTGCTAGTCTGCCATTTCTTGCCATCGCACATAATGCAACACCAAGTCAATGCTGACAGTAGGATTGATGCAGTGCTGACTGTGCTCGGCACCGAGATGCATGTGTGAACCTGTTCGAAGACCGAGGATCGTTTGCAATAAGCGAACAAGCCATTAATGTGCCAGTACCACCGCAGTCAACACTCACAGTCATCCGGGAGTGCCGCAGATGGCTGAGAAGCCGTGACCGCCTTCTGCTTGTTTTGGGGAGACAATGACGACGCAGTCCCGTTGGCGCTCGCGCGGGGCGTGGTGCTGGCGTCCGTGGCGAGCTTGGGCGCTGCCGTGGTGGCGCTGGAGGGGGTCCCGCCGGGAGGGACGGGTGTGGGTGGGGTGGGGCAGGGGCAGTTCTTGAACTCGACTTCCTTGCCCCCCAGTTCGAGGCAGGCCAGGTTGTCGGGCAGCAGGCTGCCCCGGCCGTAATGGGAACGGCACTCGCGGCGTCGCGACTGGAGGCGTGCGGGGTTACACTGGCCGTCGTGGCCCGTGCAGTCGCTCCAGGGTGACCAGTCGGACCAGGCAGCTGCAATAAAAAGTGCGCTCGGTTTATGGTCACGTCTCGACAGCATGGATCAAGTTAATATGGATACACCTCTATATACACATTTCCAGGATTTACAATTCTATGACCCAGCATGTGTACATTTGAGACTTCCGAAAGCAAGCAGGCATGCATTATGCACACAGACTCTGAAGATGGCACCTTCCAAAAGCTTTTTATAAAAACGGTCCACATCAGGGGTCTCCAAACCCCGACCCGCGGAAGTCTTCCGACTGGCCCGCGGTTGGCCGCAGTCTTTCCAATTAAGCCCGGCTCGCGGCCCAGTTGCAGCAGACTCGCTGCTAGCGGTGCAAGAAGTGTGCGTAAATAAACAGCGCCGCGACACATTCCCAATGCGCAAACTATGGTGTCATTGCGTTCACAATGATGTTTACAATTACATTGTGCTTAGTACTAAGTCCTCTGTCACAACTGTTGCATATTGTCAGCATTAGTTTTATCATTGCGTTCGCAATGACTTTCACAACTGTTGCATATTGTCAGCATTAGTTTTATCATTCTCATTCATATTTTGGACTGCGCGAATACGCCAAAGTTCATATGTGCTTTGATCTATCCCTGGTGAATTAACTTGGTCACAATTTTGCTGTAACGTCATAATTAGCTAAATAATAAATTTAAAATTGAAGTATAGTGCTGTTTTTAATACTTACTTTAACAATAATTTTTTTGTTGGAAGTGCTTATGCTAGGTTTGTGTTCATTTAGTTTTACCACTTTTATAATTATTTTTCTACAGCCCTCGCGACCACGACAGATCTCTAATCCGGCCCCTTAGCCAAGAAGTTTGGAAACCTTTTCTCTCTTTCTTTTTTTTTTTTTTGCCGGGGGGGGGGGGGGGGAAGGGAGGGGAGGAGGGGAGGGGAGGGGGGTTGGAGGGGACATGACTATAGCGGTTATACAAGACATGAATATAGTGGGTTGTACTATCGCCGGCACTTCCTCCCTGGTGAAGACTAGTGAAGACGTACTGGAAACTTTCTCCTGTTAGTTGGCTTTGATTTGTGACTGGCATTTGCACAAACTGGCACTTTTCTTCTTTGGTTGATCCCATTTGCTCCTTCGATTTGCTGGCATTCACATTATGCCTTAGTGGTGTCTAAGGTGAGCTTGTGGATGCCACCTTAGATACCGTAATTTTATGCGATACTGATTCATGTTTTTCTTCTTTTTTTTTGTTATGCTTCTTTGTTTTTGCAAACAATGTTTACTTGTAGATACAATATCCAGAAATAACTATCTATATCATACTTTTGTTATTTACTATATCCGCAGACATTGTGGCATTTTCTGTGGCATTTTCAATGAGGGGAAGAGTGGGTGTGCACAACTTTAATGGTCATTCATGCACATGCCCCTGTACCTTCGAACTGCATTGCCACAGAAAGTTGTCCATGGGTATAGGCTTTTAGTACTGACCTCTGCTCTTATTTGCCCTTTTTGTGGGTAATAATGTCTAATGCAAGTATTTATTGATGCCATTGTAAATTTTATTAAAGGCACATCATTAATAAAGTAAATTGACAAATTAAAGGCTACATTAAAGGGCAACTCCGCTTCATTTTTGGTTTTGAAAAAACAATGCAGTCCTCTTCAGTATCGCCTAAAAAGACCACACGTGAAATCTTACGACGCAGTTCTGTCTAAATGTTTCTTAAACGGTCCGGCAAACTTTGCAACTCGCCAAGTTGCCGAAATCGGCTGACTTGAGCGGGCGAATTCAGGCGCAACCAACAGCGCAGTCAAGGCTACGGCATGGGCGGAGCCAACATTGAGCTAAACGCCATCTACATGGCCCCCTTTTGCTTGTTTTCACTTCTCCGGGCGAGCGTAGCGCATGACGTCAGCAACGTTGCCTCTCGGCGCTCAGCAGTGCATTTCTTGGGAGCCGTCCGGCCGTCCGCCGTGGTCCCGCCGTCTTCCGCGTCACAACCGCCGTCGTCGTCTCACTGATTGTGATTATTGTCTCTCGGAGTTTTGTCCACACTACGGACACCACGTGCGCGCACACTTATGCCGCAGTTGTGCAGACGTCGTCGAATGCCGTAGACACCAAAATGTGGCGAAGAGTGCGGTGCAGACGACACTTGCGCCTGCCACACGCCCGCCCGAATCCCGCCCGTCGTTGGGCCGAGGATCACGTGACATCTCTTACCACGTGACGGCCATGTACTTGGCGACCCGAGGCCAATGTTGCCGGGCGGAGACGAAGTTTCGGTTTCGATTTCCGCTCGTGTTTAAAATCAGATTTAAAAATATATATCCCATTTTTCGCGAAGCAAACGACGTAGTGTGTTTTACTAGGGCTTTTTAATTCGAAATCAATCATTATCCCGAAATCTTCGGAAATGAGCGGAGTTGCCCTTTAAGGAACTTTGGTAAATTACTTCGCATGAAGTTTCACACTCAAAACTGTCTGGGGTTGCTTCTAGATTATACCTAAGGTCGAATTTTATGTTTGACCAAAAAAAAAAATGTTTTATGCAATTTTCTACTTGGAAGGATGATGCAAGCCGTGGGGTTTAGATAATCTTTTGTTCTCGAGGTATAGAGTTATGGTGGAAATTAGCATTTTTCCTGACTGTCGAAGGTCGCACCGTTTGGCTCACGCTCCTCTTGTGGTTTTTTCCTCTATGTTATATTCATTTTAGTCTCAGGCTCTGTGAAAAAGCGTTAAGAGGTCTTAATGTGTTTATATATTTCTAGATATTTTATTCTTTTTTTTTAAAGAACTCATTTTTCAGGTATATTTTTTGAAAACTTTGACAAGCTGCAGTTCATGACCCTGACCCACTTGAGTTATATGCATAACGTTTATTTCCATGAAGAGTGCAAAAGGAACTCTTTATAATAATATTGATCTCATTCAGTTGTTCTTGTTATCTCTCTTTTAATATCATCACTTAAAAATCGTGAAAATTAAAAAAGTAAAATTTGCTTAAAATTAATTTTAAAAAAATTCTTATTTTTTTTAGGAAAGATAGTTTTCTACTAAGAATCATAGTTCATATAAATGTAATATTCTATTTGCATGGCCTCTATTTAATCCACAATATCATGAAATGTGGGTTGGTATTTAGCTAGAAAAACAGGAAAAACTTGTCAATAATTTTGAGCGTCTCCACGTTTTTTTTATAAATATATTGGTATATTTCTTGGGCGATATGTCCACGTCCTAATGGTGGATTCACTATGAGGCGGCAGGAACGAGACAGAGACGGTGTAAGTGAAGAAGCGACTGTTTTACGTGGCATATGACCTGATCGGGTGTGCATGCCACGGCGAATTAGGAAGAGAAAAAAAAGTCGAAACGAGGCGTCTTGGTGGCAGTTTTTTGTTGTTGTGTTGGTCAAACTTTGTCACAGTGCCTTCGCGGTGAAAAAGAAGGTGTGTGCTATATGTTTGTTTATCTAAGTACCACCTCAAATTTTGAGATTTTGTTTTTCTTTTCCTTTGCTATATATATATATATATATATTTTTTTTTTTTTTTTTTTTTCATTTACATCATTTTGGTTTTGTTTCTGTCGCCTCACAGTGAGCTCACCACCGGGGCGTAGACATATCGCCCGAAATATATACACATGTGTTTTAAAAATCATAGAGATGCTCCAAAATGGATAAGGTTGCCTGTTTTTCTAGCTAAATTAGAACACACATTTCACAATATTGGGGCTTAAACAGAGGTTACACAAACAGAATATTATAAACTATGATTATTAGTAAAAAAACTATCTTTTCTACGAAAACACTGTAAAAAAATAAAATATCAATGGATTAAAACAAAATTCTCTTAAATTTGCAACTTTTAAAATTTTTACGATTTTAAAGTGATCATATTGAAAGAGATAATGAGAATAACTGAATAAATTTAATACATTTATACACAGTTTCTTTCGCGCTTTCCGTGGACATAAATAATTTAAATATACCTTAAGTATATTTAAAATATTCGCATGACAGATAGCATGCAGCCTGTCAAAGTTTATAAAAAAATCGACCTGACATATGAGTTCGGCGATTTCTGAAAAAAAGAGAGAAAGGTAAAATTCCTACAAATATTTAAATAAATTAAGACCTCTTTATGGGGGCCATCGTTGTAGACAAAAATGAAAATTTCTTAGAGACAGAAACCACGGGAGAAGAGTGAGTCAAACAAGCAACCTTCGACAGTCGGGAAAATCGCTAATTTCCACCGCGGCCGCTTCTGCGATCCATAACTCGAGAACGAAAAATTATCCAAACTCACGGTTTTCACTGTTCTTTTAAGTAAAAAATTCCCTACAAGATATTTCTTTTCGTCGAAATTAAAATTTATTACCTTTCTTGCCCTAACGATTTGAAATGAAATCACCCGTAAATTCTAACGATTCCTTATATAAAGGCATGACCGGAGGGAAACTCGTAGTATATCGACTACACCAGGAATCAGCAACCCACGGCCCGCAAGGCAGTTTCATGCGGCCCCCGGCACGACGCCAAAAAAAAAAACACTACACTACACTACTACTACTACCCCCCTCCCTCCCTCCCTCTCCCCCTTCCCCCCTCCCCCTCCCCCCCCCCCCCCACACACACCCACCCACACGCACGCACGCACGCACGCACGCACGCACGCACGCACGCACGCAAACCCAGTTTGCGACCGCGGACTTGTTGCCCGGCCCTCTGCGTGTGGACTTCGTGACGATTCGGCCCGCCGCTGAAAAAGGCTGCCGAACCGCTAAGAGATGGCGCCACTTCCCCATCGCGCAACCGCCGCGCGACGCAACAGACTCCGACGAGACGAACGGGAGCCATGGGGTCCGGCGCCACGCCGGTCGCTTACCTTGTTGAATAAAGTAATGTTTGAAGAAAGACGACACTCACCATCAAAGTAGGAAGGCCCATGTGTGACAAGAACTTGAGGGGGAACAGCACCAGGTTTCACCCCTAATGAAAAATGCAATGATTGGGGATGAGTACAACAAACTATTTATCTTCATTTTTGGAAGCAGTTCAGGACTACTGGAGCTGACAAAAATGATTTTCAGCTCAAAGCATTGTAAGTAATATCCCGAATCATACTTTGCATACATAAAGGCCAAGCAAATAAATTAGTTATTTTTGTGTGTGTGTGTGTGTGTGTCTCTCTCTTCAGATATGATCTTGCAGCCTAGTTTGCACAGGCGATGAGGTTAAAATATCCTGGTAAGTTAAAGTATTTGCTTCTCCATGCTCAAGATATGGCGCCACCAATTTCGGAATATTGTGGCTCAGTAACAAGACATCAGAGCAGGTGTGTGCATATTAAAACAGTGGGGATATCAATTCAAGTATCAGTATCCGATTCAACGTGGGAATCGAAACGTTTGATTAAATATGTTCCATAAGTTTTGAATTAATGTATATAATTAAAAATGCTTTCGAGGAGGAGGGGGAGGAGGAGGAAAAACTTTATTCAAGGAAAAGGCATGAGTGTGAACATTCTTTTTTTTTTTTTTTTTTTGCAAATAAATTAGACGTGCCGCCCTAGCTTCCTTGAGTGCGTATCCCCAAGCGCAGGGGTGCGCTGCGGCAAAGCGGCAGTTCACTTGAAGTATATATTCTGTTTCTAAATATTAGTTCCAGCTAAACATCAGTCGTCTCTGTTGGCTATAATCAGTCGTTTCTGATGTACAGCTAACCCCCTACCAACGAAAATTTAAAACCATCTTACATCTATGATGGATTGGAATAAGCAATCATCTAAGTTCCCATGCAAGAAGAGATACAAACTGTACTTACCCGTGAAACGTAAAGAACGAATGTCAACGTGCAGGTTTCCGGCCGGAAGGATTCCGTGTCCTTGCTCGAGGACTTGGATGAATGCAAGACCCACTAGATGAGCCGCGTTGGCCAGCGGTTGGTTGAGGATGATTCGACAGTCCACTACTATGCTGCCTTCATTGTTGCTGGAGGAACAAAATATCCGTTGAGCGGTCAGTCGCGCTATAAGTAATAAAAACAACTCCTATACTCTGTTTCACGACAACTTGGCGAACTGTGGAGGCTGCGGCCCCCGCTATCCAATATGGGCGTCGGAGCAAGGCACGTGACAACAGTCGAGGCCACGGAGGCCTGGTTTCCGCCACAGCTGCAGTACCATCCGCGACAAAAAAGTGGTTCTAGCTTCTTTCTTGGCAATTGAACTCGCGCGGTTGCTTCTCTATCCACACTAAGCTACACGACACGGAAGAAAGGCAAAGACTTGTTGCTTTTCAACGATAGTTAATTCGGAGCATTCATTTTCCGAGGACAACGTGGCTTTTGAACGATGTTTGAACGATCGCAGACCCTGTAATCGATCGGCTCTGCTCAAAACGTCGCCCTGGCATTAGCACCCGCCCCAGATTCCCGGGTAAATTAAGAGTATGGTTGTCTCATGAACTCTTTCCGAGGTGCTCGTTATTCTAACGGACGGAACTGTTGCGGAGGTGGACGTTCATCCGAAGTTGGTTGGTTCCGCAGCAGGCGACTCATGGCCAGCAGACAACAGCCGGTTCCTCCGGGTCTCGCATTTGGAGCAGGGACACAAACGCTTCCGTGACGTCATGTCACGTGTTTCGCTCCGACGCTCTTATTGGGTCGCGGGGGCCGTAGCCTCCACACACTCTAAAAAAAGTGCGTGCGTCCGCTTTCCCGCACAACGCTCGGAGAGCCAATCACGGCAACTTACGAAGGCAGCTCGGCGAATGACGATGCCGAAACATATTTTTAGACCAAAAACGCAGTCTGAGTTGTGACATTAAGCAATGCAAGCGTGACATTTTGCATTACTTAATGTCATAACTCAGACTGCGTTTCTTGGTCTAAACATATGTTTCGCCATCGTCATTCGCCGAGCTGCCTTCGCAAGTTGCGGTGATTGGCTCTCCGAGTGTTGTGCGGGAAAGCGGATGTACGGGCTTTTTTTAGAGTGCTGCAGTTCGCCAAGTTACCCCCTGCGTCTCTTCTAGTGACTGCAGGAGAATGAATCACTACTGCTGCGAATTTAGCACGTTGGGATCACAAAGTGCACTTACCTAAATTCTACAACTTGAGTCATGTTGTAGTCTGACGAGAGTGGGCCTAAGTAGAATAACTCGTCCAGCTGTTGAAAAGAAAAAGAAACAAAACTATTTAAAATTGCACAAACGCGCAAGAAGCGGAAACGCGCAGCTCCGGATAGTTCGTAAACACCAGAAAGCACGCTGTTTTCTACAGCATATTTATCACTCTAAACGTTGTATGGTGTTATTTCGAGAACGCTAGAGTCTCTGGGCATTAATGTTTTACCGGAAACTCCGTTGACATTTCTTCAAACAACAAAGTGCCACCTCGGCCCCAGCGTCAAGTTGTCAACTCAGCGCTGTATAACTAAGTCACCGACATCTTCTAGGTAGTTTTTTTTTTTGTCTTATCATCGTCAGCAACAGAAAGATAACGATCACAAGCCAGGTGTATGCGTTTTGCACCCCGCAGAGACCGCGACGCAGGTGTTTGGCAGCTAACTTGGGTCTTTCCAATGTTTACAGAATCACAGTCCAACGTGCGATCTACGCAGCTCAGCACGTGCGTATTCGTCGCTTCGGAAAGCGAGCAAAGCACGCGCCATACGCACGAACACTCAAAATGGCACCGGCCACAGGCTGTTCGTGCGCAGGGCGCGTGATTTGCTCGCTTTCCGAAGCGATTGCACGCTGGGCTGAGGACTTGTGAATGTTGCAAAGGTGTGTTCCACTCACCCCTAAAAAAAATTAACAGTCTGGTTGGGACACGCGTAACAAAAAATTAAATATACGCGAAAAAAAGAAAAGAGCAACATTGACGGGGCGAGACGCGATTTAGTCGGTAGTCACCTCCTTTCCACTTGTTTTCTCTCTCGGCATTTCGGGCGCGTGGAGGAGAGGTGGATCAACTTGGTCATCACGTTGAGGTGGAGAGAGTGTATGACCATCTCGTTGAGGTGGAAAGAGTGCATGATTATTCTGTGACGTCAAGGACTTTGCGCACAAAATTTGAAATAAATCTCGCAACGTCAATATTGCTCCAAAAATTCTTTTTTTCTTTCGCGTAAAATTAATTTTTCGACACGTGTGTCACAACCAAACTGGAAGAAAAAAAAACTTTTTTTTTTTGTCAGGGTTTTTTTAAACTGAGACTGCAGCCAATGTCACAAGCACGACAGCACGAGGTGGTCGCTACTTTGAAAAGTTCTTCCACAACGCGAGCACTCGCGCTAGAAATGCACGTCTCAAAGCTAGGAGCACGGGTTAGCTCGCGCTTGTATAGCTTTGGCTGCGGTCTCTCTCTCCGACCATGACACGCTTCAAGGCTAAATCAGTTAGCTTCAGTAAGAATGTAATTCTGCATTTCAAAACGAAAAAAAAAAAAAGAATTGGCGTCAGATTTTATAATGCAACATCGTACTGTTTTCGATAGACGTCTTCACAAAATGTGCAAGTCATCCACTGCAGTTTACGCTGGTGACTATCTGCCGAGTCGTTTTTGAACTTGCATAGTGAGCTTTTCCTGCTTGTAAGGATTGGATACCGCTGGCTAAACCCTTTTTCAGGTTAGAAGACGACTAGCCGGCTATCTCTGAAGATCCAATCTCCTTGCTTATTCTACATTTGGGAGTGGCATGCATCGGAGCGCGCAGTCAAGATGCATTCAAGCGGCGATTTACGGCCAATTGTCCGAGGGGGTCCCCCATTTTTGTGTTCCTTCCAGGCCAACGTGTTTTTTGTTCGCTCTGTGTTGTCTGAATGGCCCACCAGAGGGGGACAGGTCGAAAGAGGCCGACCTTTATGTTAGCAGAGCAGAAGGCGGGGCTTGAACCGGTGTGTACCTGCACCGTCCCGTGTTTTGGGAAGTGTATTTGCCCGATTCAAGTTCCTTTCTTCCGATTCGTTCTCTTTCTCGCGCTTCAAAGAACGATTTCTTTTGTATTTTGTCCGCCGACGGAGTTTTGTCCGGGGGTCTTTGAAAATAAGCCTGGTTTGAAGAAAAGCGTGCGGGGGGCTCGGGCTGGAGGTCCCCCCGATTTCCGCCATTGTCAGTGACATGGCGACGCGGCTTCACGCGACGGAAGCGATTTTTCATTGGCTGTAAATTTGTATTTGGTGCGTTATTTAGCGCGGTTGCGAGCGTAGGGAAAACGGTATGGACGTGTTTTGTTTTTGTTTTTAATGTATGGGTACAGTGATTGATCGCGATGCTCGCTGGATGTCGTCCCGCCTTCTGCTCTGTTCCTCAAGATGGCGTCAGCAGACGATGAAGTCTGAGCAAACCTTGTTGTAGTAAGACTACATTGCAGTAAAACTTGTAGTCTGTTTTATTTATGTATTTTCAATACGCGCTTTCGAGTTTGTGTTATATGCGCCGGCGACGATGAAAGTTGCGAAGGTTTGACGCATACATCACAAGACGCATCTGGAAGTTAAGAAAGCAGACGACGTGAAACACGAATATCGCATTTTAGTGCGCAACAAAACCGGTTGTGTCATCGTGTGGACCTGAAATGCAACGACGATCACGACAGTAGAAATAGCCCACTAAAGCTTTCGCGACTTTTCTTCTTTTGGAAGAAGCTCTCCGGATGATGGACCCTTCTTCAAATTACGTGACATTTCTTTTCTTTCTTTTGCGCTTCATTTTGATATTTTTGTTTGCGCGGAAGATGCCGCTGTGTACCGACGACTTTGCGGGAGGGGATCGGTGGCCCAGTGGGCTAGCGCACACCAGCTCGGAGCACGTGGAGCGAAAGGCTATAGCCCTGCAGAACCCAGGGATCCTGGGCTCAATCTCCGCCCTTGCCCGTTTCGATCTGGATGAGCATCGTACAGGCGTGCGGTCGTGTATCACTACTGCGTGATGCACGTTCAAGACCCCAGGTCAGCGGTTGTACAGCACTGGCTAAATTGCTCATCTACAGCTGAGACACCAGACGCCCGTTGAGGCTGACTAACTTCCGGCCGTATGAACATATATACACGCAACATTATTATTTCTACTTTGCGGTAAATTCCCATCCGACGCAATTATAGGACGGTATGCTTCCCCCCCCCCTTCCCCCTTCCGAAGCTGCGATCGCGCGTCTTCGGTATTTTCTTTTTATTGCCCGATGGAAGAGCCACAAGCCATTACACCATTAGAGCGACGCAATATCTCTTACGTCTCATTTATCCGCCTATACATACGAGATCGTTAGCCTCCTCTGTACACACTTCTCCAGTATTTCGTTATTTTTTTTCCCCCTTTCTACTGCTCTGTCTCACTATATATCCTCTTGATACTCTTTCGGAGTGTTATGTATGTGATGTTGTCTCTGTGCTGTAGTTATTAATCGGTGCCCGTGTTGTTGTTGGTATTGTTGTTGTTATTAATGAGTCCGTTTGCAGTTTCATTAAAGCCCGTGGTAGCTAATTACACGACGGTTTGAAAAGACGTTTTCGAACCGTCGGAAGGGTGAGCAATGAGGCGGGTTTCAACACTGGCCAATCGCGTAGGGGATGGCGGGGCGACAGCCATTAAAAACGGACCCGCTCCCCGCTGCAGGCGATGGCTACGGGAGGCTGAAGAAAGGAAAGCGAGGTGGGCCCGGAATTCGATGGCGCAAATGCCGATGAAATAGCTGGGGCTCTCGACGGCTCGTATAGTGCCACGTATTTGATATCTTTGTTTCTACGCCTCATCTCATGTTTATGACGTCACGGCGAGGCCTGTGGAACGGACGCGTAGTGCTCACGGCGCGTTCGGAACGAAGTCAGCCGCGTCACGTTTGCGTATTTGCGGACTTCGTTTTTATTTTTATTTTATTTTTTTGTCAGCGCGTGTTTACAGTGCGTGCTTTGCTCGGTTGCGCTGCACATGGTATTAGATGAGGGCCCCGGGGCTTCATCTGCACTGCTGCGAAAAGCTACTGTATTTGAAGAGCATAATAAAAGTCCGTGTTTCGGGATTAGGCCTCACGGTAAGCGAATTTCGTTTCTTTTTATATATTTTTTTTTTTTACCGCGGCAGCGTCTGTAGTTAGTTATTATTATCCGAATACACAGTATTATGAAGAAAAAAAAATAAAACAGTAATATATGCCTGTCTGTTTGATAGAAGAAGAAAAAAGAGGGGGGGGGGGGAAACAAATAATGTTGACAAAATTGAAAGCAGACTTCGGCGAACTCTAAAGCTACTTCGTGACTTTTCCGCGCATCGTCGTTTTGTAGAGCTTCGTTCTGCCGTATCGGGTAGTATGTTTTTTTTGTTATTATTATTATTATTATTGATATTATTACATTCTTTCGCGAAAGTTGGAAATTGAAAATGGAAAGAAACTAGAATGTCGTCAAGACGTCGTCAGATGCTATGTCACGATTCTTCCACATTAACTTTTCTAATTTATTTATTTTTTCTTTAGAGCCTCAAAGCAGCAAAATGATAAATATCAAATATTAATGAAAAAAATTACTTTTTACTTTCGACGTTGGAGGAAGAGGCCATCTAGTCCAATTTGAGAAAAATAACAGTAAAAATAGGGACTGAGGAAAAAGAAATACTCCACCATCTCTCTTTCTGCTTTTATATCAAAGAAGACCCGACCCGTTCAAAAACATAAATACATAAAAAAGGAGGATTTGCTTTGAGCAAATATCAATATCTCTCTCGTCTGCGTTCTCGAGACGTTATCGCGATGCAGGCACGAACCGGACGCAAAATATGAAAACATAAAGCTCACATATTCAGAACGCGAGCCTTTTTCGGAGATGAAACGCGAAATACATATGGTCCGCGATGCGCTCTCGCTGCGGGCGCATCGGTGCGCGCATCCTCCTACCCGCTTTCGATGATCGTCTGCTAAGCCCGTTCGCGATGTCGTCTGCTACCACTCTATCTTGGCGCCTTTTATCTATATTTTTGCTTACTTTGCAGTCGGTTTGTAGATTTTCGGGCGCCTTATTTTTTTTTTTTTTTTCTTGTTTGCAAACTTTTAGAAGGGGTGTAAGTTTCTTTCCTAAATATTGCTTAGTTTCTCAGTTGTTGTTTTTATTTTTGTTTCCCCTGTATGTTTGTTGTTGACGTCTGCTAACGTGATTATTTAACCATATATATATATATATATATTATTCTAGTAGCGGCGAGGTACGGCGCATATTTTGCGAATCCGTCGGCTATATACTGGTGTGCCTATATTTCAGAGTGTCTGCAACTGCTCGATCGGTGTCGCGTGGTTCGCACTGGTCGCCTGCAAGGTTATGGATGGATGGATGGATGTTAATGACTATATATACCCTTTGTAACGGGTGGTAGCTTGCGCCACCTAGCCAAGTCTATAAAGACAAACATGACTCCTCCCGCCCTTCTAAGACCAATTTTCTCCCCCCTATCTCCAGGCAGTGTGGAATATCACCAAGATGACCATTGGAAAATCGGGCAAAAAAAAAAAAAAAAACATTATCGCCCCCCTTTTCCTTCTTTTCCCCCCGCCGAGGATCGAGTCGCCAATTTTCCTCAGGTCAAACCTTGTCGGCGTTACCCCAGCACCAGACCCGCTGGGAGAGAGAGTTCAGACTTTGGACCGGAGCCACGCGGGAGGGAGTCCCAATTTTCCTCTGTCCCGCCTGTCCCCAGCTGTGCTAGTTAACCCCTCAGGGAAAGCAGTGCGAAGCGCCGTGCACTTCAAAACAGAATGCTATAGTGTCTCGCTCTCATTATAACATGTGGCACATAATGTGTCTGTCTCCTGAAATTTAGCCCTATACGTCCTTGTCCTCAAAACTCCTGCTCTCGCCTCAAAAAGTGAAAAGCTTCCCAGAGAACTTTCAACCTGATTTTCCTATGTCCTGTTTTTGTGGCCTGTACACTGTTAAAGCTGATTTTTCCTGCATTCTTCCCTCCCACATTTTCCTCTCTGCCTCTTTCACCCTCTTTTCCACTGAAGTAGTCTGTTCAGCCTCATCACTAGTGTGTGGGTATTTAAATGTAATCCCTCGGGTTAGGTTTGTCCATTTTCTGTTTAAGCTTTTTACGCATAAATACTTGAACACCTTCCGTGCCCACCGCGTATCATCCATTCCGGTCAACCTTTGTTCGAATTTCGACTGACTAATTGCCTCCCTGCTCTCGAAAGACGATTATCCCATGTCCCCCTGTACTCCCTCATTTGGTGTTTTTCCATGTGCTCCCAGTGCCAATCTGCCGACGCTTCTTTGTCGAATTTCTGATCCCGGTTGAACCTCTGATTTCATGCGCAGTAGCCCGTTGCCAAAAGACAGTCCCGCTACCATCACTCCTTTCCATACACCCCTGACCACTTCATATCTATTCGTAGTTCCATAGTGACCTGACCTTCATACTACATGAATTTATTTTCTTGTTTCTATTTACATTCTCTTCGTGTTCCTCTATACCCGCTTTCACCTCAAGAACCATAGAAAAAATAGTCTGGCTTCTCCCTTTATGTAGAGAATTAAGATATATGTAGGTGAATTGTAGATTAGACATATGTTCTCTTATTAAGACGTACACGTCCTAAACGCCAAGAGCATCGCTTTTTCCTCGGGCAACCAAATCTCGTAAGCACCACGTCGCGCCGCGTATGAACAATGCGGGTATAGATGTTTCCTTCCTTCATTGAGCCAGACTCCCAGATATTTGTATTTTCCTACGTGGCCTATTCAAACGTCTTCTATCCTCAGGGGTTCCCTCTTTTCGTCGTTAAACACCATTGCTCCACGCTTATCACTACTAAAATCCATGCCCAAGGCGTCCCCTTCCTCTCCACATATTACGGCTAGTTCCTGTAATGTATCCTGGTTATCTGCCATGAGCACTATGTCGTCCTCATACATCAGTCCTGGTATTAACTGTATTACATTCCTCCCTCCTTCCGTATAACTCCCATCAAAACCCAAGTTGCTCGGCTCTAATTTCTTTTCCATTTCACTGAGATATATCATGAAAAGCAGAGGTGTCAATAAACAGCCCTACCTTATTGTCCGTGCACAACTGCTGAAGAAACCTAACCAAATTTGTATCTATAAAATATACTCCTTCAGCTGACCCTTTTCCTGGCTCACATTATCGTACGCTCCCTTGATGTCCAAATAAGCTAACCATAAAGGAGTTAAGTTCTTTGTTACTATTTGTATACATTGAGTAGTGACGAATAAGTTATCTTCCAGCCTTCTATCTCTTGAGTGGTGACGAATAAGTTCATCTCCAGTCTTCTATCTCTTGGGAATCCATTCTGGAGCTCACCCAGTATGTGCATATCTTTTACCCATTCCTCCATTCTTCGCTTTACTATCTGCATAGCTAATCTGTATGGAACTCAAGCTGCCATTATCGGGCGATACGACTTAATGATTTTACTTAGTTTCCAATCATTGGGTACCTTTCCTCCCATAATTATTTGATTAGTCGCATACCGTAACTTCAATTTGCTTGTTTTTTCTAGTGTTTTATGATTTCCATGGGTATGTCGTCTGGGCCTGTCGCTGTACCTGCTGGAACCTTACTTTCTGCCTCGTCCCATTCTCTTGTGGTCGTCTCCATTGTTACACAATTCTGCTCCTCCTCTTCACTGCCGCTGTCAGTGGTATCCACTGTGCCCCCTCTGCTCAAGCTAGGACTAAGCCTCTTCGATTGTCTGCCTGTTTTCCCTCTACTCCTCTACCCTCCTGTGTGGTCAGCAAGTGTTGGAAACTCTCCGTCTTTCTCCCCTGCCGTGTGGCGAGGAGGAAAGCGTGGATGGATGGATGTTACTGGGTAACATCTCTTGGTAACAGGCGGTAGCTTGCGCCACCTAGACGCCCGTTTTCCTCCTCGCCGCACGACAACGCAACGCACGCGCACTTGCGACCAACCTGCCCAGGAACGTCCTGCGTAGTTTGGGTTGCATGCTCTCTCGAATCTAGGCTCTGTGCTACAGTTACGGTTTATCCGTCTTTCCAACTTTTCTTTTATACGTCGACTCGATGTTATGATTCGTCGCGTTTTTGTATCTGGCCACGTCGCGATACCTTAACACCCCGCTTCTTTCGCTGATCCTTAAGCCTTTATAAAGTCAGCCCACAACCTTCCGCTATAGCTATACTTTTTTTTTTTTTTTTTTTTCTGCGATGAAGTAAAATAAAACTAATGCGATTTTGGATCATCGCGCGAGAAAAAGTAATAAAAAAACTGCTTCAGTATTTGCTCACTTTCTTTTTTTAACGGAAGAGTTATTTTTATTTTTTTATTCTCCCAGTTAGCGATGGGAAAGGACCGATTTCTTTTTAGTTCTACTACATTTTTCTAGCCGGAGAGGAAATAGCCTTGACGCGTATTTCCGGTCTGTTCTGGTGTTTGCGACGGCAGGCTTCCGGCATTTCTCTCCCGAGTTTTGACACATGGGGACTTTTTGAGCGATAAATAAGAACGCGGAATGGTATTTCCTTTTTCTCGGCCGTTTTCTTGTTTTGTTTTGTTTTGTTTGTTTTTCTGTTTCTGCGCCTAACTCGATTTGCGGACGTAACGACGTTCCGAAGTATATCTGTCGGGTGCCGGAGTTTTAGCACTATAGAGTAGCTTTACAGGGAGGCTACCTAAGGTTTTCACCACTATACCCTAAAGCCGAGGTCGCGCCGGTAATCCATCGTACAAAAGACAGTCTGCAGACAGTAGAATAGTTTCAGGGAACCGTTTCTGAACAGCCGATACGGTGCGAAGGGCCTTCCGGTACGAACTGCGCATGTGCGAGTCTTCTGCGGTACGGCGCATGCGCAGTTCCTACCGGAGGGCCTATCGTACCGTATCGGATGTGATAAAGCGCTTCCCTAAAACACACACACACACAAACACGCAAGCACGCACGCACACACACAATATGCGCGTTTTTTTTTCGTTTTGCTGGTGTGAGTTTAACCAGCATTCATTTCCCACCATTTTTCTATTGGTTTCAAAAACTTTTGACAATGTTATAAACGACCGTTTCTCATAGACAGTGCGTACATTTGATCTCGCATATACTCTGAAACCTTCGCTCTAGCGGAATGTAGTTCCACGGCCGCCTCATAGATGGCGCCAGCATGCCAGTGTGTTTTCTCGTCGTAAGAGGTCACAAAAACTCGGTTCTAAGTAGAGGAGAATGTGTGATTCAGCATCGAGTGGGTGTATTAAAACAACATCTTAAAAAAAAAAAAAAACATGAAAAGAAAAAAAAAAAAAAAAAGGGGGGGGGGGGGCAGTGAACTTACCGCTCTTGCTACTTCGGAGGCGAGCGACTTGAAGATTCTGCTGGAGTGGTCCACCAGTTCGGGAGAGTAGCCCCTGTTGGTGACGCGGAAGGAACCGTCCACCGCCCAACTACCGGCTGCAAAGTGAAAACAAATATACATAAATAAATGATCGTGAGCCTTAAAAAAAAGTTGAATCTGGAAGCGCGAGGAAGGACAGTGAAGTTTTGACGGGAGCTTTAGTAGATCGTTGCAACACCTCCGATAACGATACCCGACGCTCCGCCGACGCCTTTGCGCATGCATCGATCGTATCGTTATCGGAGGTATCGGAACGATGTACTAAAACTCCCTGATAATTGGCATTTTTTCTCAACAGTGGTGACACCGTTTATAAGCTGCTGTATGTTCCCTGTCCTGGCATGGTTCTGTGATAAATAATGTCCACGGCTCAACGAAGCCCGAACTTTTCACAACTCGCAGCGTCAATAATGGTTGCAATAGCTTACGATATACTTTCCGCGTACCTAAAAACATATTTGAAAAAAAAAAAAAGCTAGGCTAATTTTAGAGAGGGTATAGTTTCATTTACGCATTCCTTACCAATTTTTTTTGACGTCGGCAGGGTTGCTGTAGCGAGTCTATAATGTTCGACAAACCTCATCTGCGGGGCCAATATCAAGATTAACTTCGTCTGCAATAAATTCGCGCCATTATTTCATCGCCTGTCGGGTACGCGATTGCGCCTTGTGTTTGGAGAATGCGTGGGCGCGAACATTCTCTTTTTTTTTTTTTTTCGTACGTTGAAAAAAAAAAAAGGGGGGGGGGGGCACGATTTTTCCGTGCTGACGCAAGCACCCACGAAAAGTGCAACGCGCGATATTTGTTTTGTTTTATTTTTACCTTGTTTTGTTATGAGGTTATGCCGATCGCAGGAGTCCGCATTATATTGCGAAGCCCCGCGAACGAAGCGAGTTATAATGATAGGCATACCGCGATTCATTAGAGACTGTAACGAAGTTTTAATTGGCACTTACGATCCCGCGAACGAGCACCGCGGTTTTCCGCCGAGCACTGTTATAAAATATTTGAACTCGAGAAACGGTTTAACTTATTTCTTATTTATCTTTTCGCCTTTTTTGGGGGTCTGCTTTTCTTTGCGTCGTCTGCTACGCTCCGTTTCGCCTTACGATAGACCGCAGCGACCGCTACGAGACGTTGGAACCAATCCTAAGCCGTGTCAGTATCACGTGACTTTGGGAAGGGGCGAACGCGGGACGCGATCGTGATCACGTAACAGGTTTGTAGCGCCGGATTGGCTGGGATGGCTCGTGGTGTCCGCTGCGCTGTATTGTAAGGTGAAACGATACCCTTTATTGGAGTCTGCTACGTTCCAACATATACGTACATGAAGTTTTTTTTTTTTTGTTGTTGTTCGGCGCGCAATTTACTTTCAATATTTGTTCCGCGCATATTAGTCTGGACACCTCGTATATTGATTTTTTTTTCTTTTCTCAGACATTTGGTGTTATTTTGGAGTTTCTACGTCGAGAAGGAAGGGAGCAAACAGGATTTCAACGCCCAAATGACACCTTTGACGTTTGGCGCTCGGCAACGACCTCGAGACTGTTGCCAAAACTTCGTTATACTGTTGCCTTTTACGGTGCAATTATTATCGTCATTATACGTTTAGGGTTCTCTTTGTTTTGGGGGAGGTGAGGTTTTGGCGTCGCGCCGACGGTAGGCGGGTATAATAATTGCCGTAATCACGTCGGTTTATGAATATTTTCTTGAGACCACCGGGGTGCTATCGTGCTTAGTCGAGGGAGGGAAGGGGGTACCCCAATGTCAGCTGACATCGGGTACCTGAAAGATCATCTGGCGCATCTGGTGGTGACAGATGTGGTTGCCATAAGCCTCCGTGAAACAGGCGGCTGATCATAACTTGCGCAGCGTCTTAAAAAAGGCATCGGTCAACAGTCACTGGACGTAATGTTAGTTCACGAAACACGACGTTGAAGGGAAACACGCCCTGTCCTATGGCAGCTCGACAGTACACGAAGGTAAATAGATGCAATAAACAAACGCCGATTTTTTTAACGGAGTGTTAAATAGCACTACTTTGCCAACATGGCGATCGAAATCCAAACGATGCCAGTCCACTCCATGGCCAAAGATGCCCCTTAAAGGGGCCATGAAACGAATTTTGGGTTGGGATGAATGATTTTAAATTGGGACTTTACTAATCGCATATCGTTTAGTTGGCCAAAAGAAAGAGGCTAGAAAGTCAAAAGCCAGCTTTTCGGTACAAACATTTGAAAATATAGCGGACTATTTTGTACCTTCTTGCCTTCAAAACCTCTCCGCCTTTTCACTATGATACATCCGCGGTTCCAAAAGCGCGTCACCGGCGCCAAACTGACGTCAGCAGAGCCCAGCTCACGCATTGGACACGAGAACTGCGTCACTCGGACGTATGCGCTCGTCAACAATCAATCCGTCGACGAATATTTGGATTCGCGTTCGTGGTCAATGAGTGCCCGACGGAAGTTATTGTCACTAAGGAATGACAAGTTTTATGGTGTGCGTAAAAAGCACGGTGGTAGCTAGGAGTCATCGCACCGGTGCCGAAGGAATGTCACGACCACGTGATTTCACAATTCGCATTTGAGTTGAGGATTAAAGCTAAGGAGGAAGAAGTAGAAAAATTGTTTCATGACCCCTTTAATACAACGTGCGCAGTGTTGCATGCAGGGATTTTTTTTTTTTTTTTTAAGTAGTCTATTTCCTACGTTACTTTGATCCACCGCGTGCGTATAGAGCGCGCGCGTCTTGCATGCACACGATCTATACGGTGGCAAAGCCCGTACTTCTCCATATTTTGTTTGTAGAGAAAGAAGAAAAGAATCTCGCGTATTTTTTTATATTATTTATATGTATGAAGAGAAAAAGCCGAAAAAGCTGGAGTGTGGATATTTAATAAGGCTCGTATCTTCCGCATCGAAAAACCCATTAATACGCCCGGTGCATTTCTGTTTTTGTATTTTTCACTGCATTTCTATTTCTATCTATCCAGTGTATCCATGAAAGGTGAGCAGATTCGAGCCGGTGCGGCTCAATGCCTCCTTTCGAGGCGATAGCGCCGCATTATTACTCATTAATAAATTTGATGACTTCTTTTTTTATTTGCTTTTTTAGCCGCGTGCTTTCACACGTACGCAAAAACTACTTTCAAAGACGGAAAAAAAAACATTTAGGAGGAAAGAGCGCGAGGCGGGTTATTAAGCTTGTTGCTGCTCGGAGATCTGATCCTCGCAGCCTGGTGCGATTAGTGAATTTTGACTACGAACCGGTGCTGTAAGTTAGCCAACCGTCCGCGACGACCGTAGCACGGGATCACGGATTAAGTTCCGACTAATTCATTTATTCTTTTTGCCACGTGGAACCTATTAACTTTACATTTAGGCTTGAATATGGTCAGCTGAACAATTACAAATTAGAAAAAAACCGTGAGAGGTAATACATACACACCGCTGACTTCCTCTCACGGTTTTTTCTAATTTGTAATTGTTCAGCTGACCATATTCAAGTATGTACTAACTAGCTCAAGTAAAACCTGTATTACATTTAGGCCTCGGCTGAAAACTGTTCTAGACTGGATCTAAGTATAACGAAGTGAAAAGGAAAGTGCGACCTTTCGTATGTGTTTTCTTTTTAATATGTGCGTGCAGACACGCTGTTTTAAGGGTTACCCCGGTTTCCTCTACTGATCAAATCATCGACCGAATTTCTATGACCCCCATTCAACATTCGCAGTAACACCATCAGTGCAGTGAACATTGGAATCTTTGGTGCAAATTTTGAAGAGTTCATGATTTCTTTCCCGACCAAATATCTAGCTATGTGTCGCAGGTCGTGACGAGTAACCAATGCGCTGTTCCCGAGCACATGAAATAAACGAGTGCACGAACAAATTAATCTCAATGCAGGAATGCTCGCAAAAGTCACTATAGTTCCCCAGGCTTCCTCGGCGAGGTCGCGCTGTCAGTTCCTGAATAAGGCTTCTTTCTTTCTTCCTGTGTTACGCACGATGGAAATAATTGGCTGAAGTGCGCTGGAGTGTGAAAGATCGTCTCGGCCCTCTAGCCATGGCTCTAAGGGGCGCCACAAACCAAGGCTTACTTGTAATCTCATTACCTGAAGAAGAGAGAAGATTGTTGTTTTAAGAATACAAAAAAAAACCAAGAAAACTAATAAAACAATTACAAAGTTCCTCATACATTTAAGCAATCTCACTGGACTACTCCGTAATGCGTGTTGTACAGGTCTGTTTGCGTGTATTCATTCTGTCGCCTCCCGGACGTGGAAGTGTGTTAGTTCGATAAACAGCTTCGGCGGTTATTGAAAAGCAAAATACCGATAGACAAGACTACTATAAACGAAATAGTGAAAGAAAGGGAGCATGGAAGCAGGATGGAACTTGTTACACTACACCACGTTCCCCTCCCCAGAAAAATGTTGCTGCTGGCGACGTAAGGGGAGAGCAGCATGTGCCTCGCTTTAGATACGCACGGCTGAGTCATAAATCACGAGAGGCGGGCCCCCGTAGGGGCATGGGAGGGAGAAGGGGGAGATGTGTCGAGGAAGAGGGCGCCTTGTAGCTTCCAGATTGTTTCAGGAGAAGCAACCGGTAGGCAGCCAAGCCCTGGGGAGTTTCCTTTTGTTTCGCGTCGGTGCTCAGGTTCGCCACGTGGGATTGCGACGGCGGCTTTATAGCGCCGTGCCATTTCATACTCCGTTAAACTGCGGTGGAAGCTGCGTGCTCGGTGGACCAGTCGCACGTCTATCTTTCGTCACGTGATCACGCTCCCATACCCATGTCACGTGACGAAAGGGAGGCGCAGTTGCACTACAGTGTAGTTGCACCATGGAGAGATTGAGCTAGTTGGTACACGATTCTTGAAACCAGGGATGTACGACTGAAAAAAATGAGGAGGGCTAAAATTATGTTTATTGCAAACTGGGTAAGGCCGCAGCTAGTGAGACGCGTTGCACGTTTTTGGTTGCATCAGTCAGGCTTCCAATAGCTGGTGTCATCGTTGCCTTCTTTAGCGCACCTCGCAATGTCGTGTCCGTC